GTCAAGCACATTTGTATATATGTTGCCATCATCACTTTCAAAACATTTTCTTTCTACTTAAGTCCTTGGTACTAGTTCATTCCCTCACCCCCAAGCCCTCCTCATGAACCATTAATAATTTATAAATTTTTTTTTTCATGTCTTACACCAACTGTTGCCTCCCTTCACCCATTTTTCTGTTGCCCGCTCCCCTGGGAGGAGGTTATATATTGATCATTGTGATCAGTTCTCCCTTTCTTTCCTTCCTTTCCCTTCTCCTCTTGGTATCGCTACTCTCATTATTGGTCTTGAGGGGTTTGTCTGTCCTGGATTCCCTGTGTTGAGAACTCTTATCTATACCAGTGTACATATTTGTCTAGCCGGATTTGTAATGTAGAACTAGGGTCATGATAGTGAGGGTAGGAATCATTAAAGAACTAGAGGAAAGTTGTATGTTTCATCTTTGCTATACTATACCCTGACTGGCTTGTCTCTTCCTTGTGACCCTTATTTAAGGGGATGTCTTATTGTCTACAGATGGGTTTTGGGTCTTTACTCTGAGCTCCCCTTCATTCACATCAATATGAGTTTTTGTTCTGGGCCTTGATGCCTGATACCTGATCCTATCAACACCTCATGATCACACAGGCTGGTGTGCTTCTTCCACGTGGGCTTTATTGCTTCTCAGCTAGATGGGTGCTTGTGTATCTTCAAGCCTTTAAGACCCCAGATGCTATGTTTTGATAGCCAAGCAACATCAGCTTTCTTCACCATATTTGCTTATGCACCCATTTTGTCTTCAGCGATCATGTTGGGAAGGTGAGCATCACAGAATTCCGGGTTACTGGAACAAAGTGTTCTTGTGTTGAGGGAGTACTTGAGTAGAGCCCCAGTGTCCATCTGCTGCCTTAATACTTAATATATAAATGTATGTGCATAGATCTATTTCCCTATTGTTATATATAAATATATTTATATATGTACATACCTGTATTTAGACCTCTGTAAATGTCCGTTGCCTTCTAGTTCTTTCCTCTATTTCCTTTACTTTCCTCTTGTCCCACCATCATCTTTGGCCTTCATTCGGGTTTCAGTAATTCCTTTCAGCTACGTTGCGCTTGATTAAGCCCCACCAGGCATCCTACATCCTCCTTGCCATTGATTTTATATCACCTTTTGTTCCCTTGTCCCTGGGTTTGTTGGCACCCCCCTTCATTTCCCCTGCTTCCCCCTCTCCTATGTCCCCCTGGAACCATAGGTCCTGTTGTTTTCTCCTCTGGTTTGTTTATCCTGCCTATCTTCTCTAGATAGACATGCATAGACAATAATAAGCTCAAAAACAAGACAAAGCAAAACAAAACAACAAAAGAAAAGCCTACAGATAGCCCAGGTCTGCTTGTTGACCTTTAGGAGTGTTTTCTGGTTGAGTCGGATGGGGTGCCATGCTCTGGCCCCAAAGTCTAATTGCGGTATTCCAGGGGACTTCATTGCTTTGCTTCCCTTGCTGCCCTGTTGCACACCCTTAGTGTTTCTCCCTGGTGTGGTGGGGTCAGATCAGGCACAATTCCCACACTGTATTTCCAGTGTTGTCCCCTGTAGCACTGTGGGGAAGTAAGAGATGTTGCATCTCATTGTGGGGCCGGCCCTATGGTCCTTTCTGTGCACTGGCTGCTCCAAACAGGAATATCGTCCTTGGGGCTTGGTGGGCCAGGATGTGTTCCACCCTCCCTTCCCTGTTCGTTTGCTCCTGTGTGTCTGATTAGACATGCCTCTCTCCCTGGGCTATAGCTTCAGTGCTGTCCTCTGAAGTGTATTCTTATTGAGGATTAGCGGGGTGGGGTGGGGGATGGTGTCCATGTAGTTGGGATTGGGGACAGTCCTGCAGACCTCTCTATTGGTTTATTGCTTCATGCCTATACCAGGGTTTTTTAATCCATTTGCTGTTTGAAGGAAATTTAGGTTGTTCTTTGCAATTATGAGCTGCGCTGTGATGAACACTGGAGCACAGATGTGTGGTTGTGCTCTGTTATTACTTCTTCTGGGTATATCCCCAGTAGGGGGATTGCTGGGTCGTATCGTAGCTCAATTTCCATTTGTTTTCGGTATCGCCAAATCGATTTCCATAATGTTTGCACATACCTACAGAACTACCAACAGTGGATGACAATTCCTATCTCACCACATCCCATTTGTTGCTTTCTGAATTTTTTAAATGGGCTATCTTTGAGGATGTTAGGTAGTATCTCATAGTTGTTTTAATTTGCATATCCCTATGGCTAATTATTGGGAACATTTTCTTATATGTTTATTGGCCATTTAGATTTCCGCCCTTATGAAACTTCTGTTCAGGTCTTTTGCCCACCTCCTTAATGAGCTATTTGGTTTTTTCTTTTCTTATTGTAGGTTAGCAGAGTATTGTAGAGTTTAGTAACAATGCCTTTGTCTGAAGCATCATTACTAAAGATGTTTCCCCAGTCTGTGGGCTCTCTTATTATTTTCTTGGTGAAGTTTTTCTATGTACACGTGTTTTATCTTCAGTATATCCCACTTGTCAATTTGTGCTTCCTCTGTGTTTGTGCCCTTCCCTATCTCTGATAGCCTATGTATTCCCTCCACCAAAATTCTGAGGTTTGTCCCAATTCCCTCATTGATGGCCCTAATATTTGGGGGTTTTACCTCGAGGTTTATGATCTACCTTGTGTTTATTCTTGTGCATGGAGTCAGGTAAGGGTCTTGCTTCATTTTTCTGCAGGTAGATATCAATTTTTTTCTAGCACCACTTGTTGAAGAGGCTATCTGCTTCACATTGGATATTTTTTGGACCCTTATCAAAGATCATTTGTCTCTATGCTGATGATTTCATTTCTGGGTTTTCAGTTATTTTCCCTTGGTCTGAATATCTATCATTATACCAGTACCAACCTGTTTTGCCCACTGTGGCTGTATAGTAGGTGCTAAAGTTATAAATATTTCTTAAATGTAGATCTTATGAACATGTTTGCTCAACAGCTTGATCTTCTAAGAACAATTGTAATGTGTATCTCCATTTATAAACAAAATAAATAAATGATAAGATTCTGCAGGACATCCAGAGGTGAATACTACATTGCTAAAATTACAAAAGGAAACGAATGAATGAGCCAAAAAAAAAAGTATAGTAAAGCCTCAAGTACAGTCTTCTAAAAAAAGAAGAAAGGAAATTCCAAAGAAATATAATTATAGTTGTTTGAAGAATTAGGAACTTAGTAAGATTTATTAGTTGGCATTCAGGGAAAATAATTTTACAACTACTTTACCGGAGTTCCAAAAGAGTCCTGAAATCCTTCTCCGCACTTGAGCCAGGCTTCTGAGAGGGAGGCAGCTGCACCCACTGTCCCGAGTTGTGCATCTCTGGATCGCACTGGTCCCTCTCTTGGAAGAAAAGGGTATTCGACATCCCAATTCCTTTTTCTCTGTGCAGATGGTTTTTAAAGAAAAAGAGGAGGAGTAAACTTCATGAAATATGCATTGAATTAGCTATGGAAATCCAAAATGGCTGGGTGAAAACACATTTTCTTAATATTTCTAAACCTCACATAAAAATAGAGCAAATCAAATGAAATAACAACTAGACAGCAAATCCCAAGTACATAGTTAATCCTTAAAACTAGTTAAGCTCCAACTTACAACATTCATAAAACATGAAAAAAATTGTAATTTATGAATTATCAAGGGTTTGTGAGGGTGGGAGCTTAGGGGAGGAAGGGGAGAAAAATGAGGAGCTGATACCAAAGGCTCAAGTAGAAAGAAAATGTTTTGAGAATGATGATGGCAAAAAATGTACAAATGTGCTCAATACAATGGATGGATGTATGGATTGTGATGAGTTGTATGAACCCCCAATAAAATGATTTAAAAATATACTTTTTTTCAAGACCAAAAAAAAAAGAAAGCACGCTCCTTAGAAGCACGGATTGTGAGGCTTCTCGCATACTTTGACATGTTGACAAGAGTCCCTGAAAAGAGTCATCATGTTTGTAAAGTCCAGGGCAGTGAAAAGAGGAGGATGGAGTGACGCAGTTCGTGCAACAATGAGCTCAAGCATGACTTCTGCTACACTCGGGTTGCTGTCACTGGGATCTGTCCGGACGGACATCACCTAACAAGAAGCTCTGCGGCGTAACAGTGTGTGAGGAAGAAGCGGGAAGCAGCGGAACAGAGGACGGCTCTGAGAAAGGGAGAACCATCCCAGGGACCAGGCACTCATTAGAACCAGCTGCGAGGAAAGTGTCAGCCCTGTGCGCCAAGGGAGAGGCACCACCTATGACACTTGTTGCTGCCCAATAGCGACTCATCTCCTAGGGAAGACCTGCGGCTGAAGAGCAGCTGCTGGGAGTGAGTGATTCAGCTGAACAACCTGGAGAGTAAACGGAGACAGGGGGCTCAGATAAGTGGTGGAGGGGACTAGAGCTACAAAATGACAGTAAGTTAAACACGTGGCTACTTTTTGTATACTACCAAAAAAAACTAAAAACCACTCAGAAACAACAACAACAGAACAGAAGTCAGCAAAGGTATCCTGAATTCTCCCTCCAAAAGTTTAGAAAAACTATTATGACATAAAAATGAGCAACTAAAAATTATATTAGTCCCATTCCTAAATATTCAAAAGAAATATACAAAAAGGCTTAAAAGGGAATGCTCATAGCAATTTTATTGTTACCTAAAACTGAAGCAACAAAAATCCATTATCAGGAGACTAAACAAGTGATGATGCATTAATTCAAACAATGAAATACTATTCTGATAAAAAGAAACCGTGGATAAATTCAGTGTGGATAAATCTCATAAGCATTGTGCTGAGTAAAAACAAACAAACAAAAGCAACATGCTGACACAAAGGGTATGTATTACACTTACATGAAGTTTTAGAATAGTACTAACTCAAGTTCTAATTCAAGAACTACGTCAAGTTGAAAAATTATTCTGGGGAAATAGATGGCATGAGAAGTGTCATTTGTCAGGGAAATAAAAAATGTCCAACATCTAACAGGGATATATTTACACTTATTATTTCACCAAAGAAGAAATACAAAGAGCCAGCAGAGAGCCAGCAAACACATGAAAAATTCGACACCATTAGACAGTAGGCAAATTCAAATAAATAATATATTGAGAGATATCACTTCGCTCCCACAAGAGGAGTGAGACTACAAAACCAGAGAGCAGGAGGGGTTGGTGAGCAAGAGGAGCAGGTGGGGCTGTAGACGGCAGAGCTGCGGAGGCAAGCTGCTCAACAGTTCCTCAGAGGTTACAGAGTCCCCAGCTTCCATCAATCCCTCTCCCGGAAAAGGAAGTAAAAGCAAGAATGCAAACATATCCTTGCACACTAGTGTCCTCAGCAACACGACTCCCAAGGTGAAGAAAACAAAACAAACCCAAAACCCATCAACAGATGAGTGGCTAAAAAATGTGGTAGAGAGCTATACTGAAATATTATTCAGCATTAAAAAATGAAATCTGGATATATGTTACATGGGTGAATCTTGAAAACTTGCTGAGGTGAAATAAGTATGATTCCACTTATAAGAAATATCTTGAATAGGTAGTTTATTAATAGTTACCAGGGACAGAAGGAAGGAAAAATAGGGGGAGTCATTGCTTAGGACAGTGGTTCTCAACCTTCCAAATTCCTCATGTTGTGGTGACCTCCCCAACCATAAAATTATTTTCGTTGGTTCTTCGTAACTGTAATTTTGCTACTGTTAGGATCAGGTGACCCGTTTGAAAGGGTCATTTGACCCCCAAGGGGTCGCAACCCACAAGTTGAGAACCGCTGGCTTAGGAGCTCTTGTTAATGGTGATGTAAACATTTGGAAACAGTGGTGGTGGCATAGCCTGATGACTACAATTAATGTCACTAAGTTGCAAAAAACGCTGAAATGACAAATGTTTTGTGATACATAAAAACCTATTGCCATCAAGTTGATTTCAAATCATTATAATCCTTTTCTGAGACCAAAAATGTTTACAGGTGCGGGCAGCCTCATTTTTTCTCCCAGAGTACCAGAGTAATTGGTGGGGAGATATTAAATCATCAGCTTTGTAGTTGTCAGCCCAGCACATTATCCATCATGATCTCTACATACACACACACACACATACACACACACACACATACACACACACACACACACACACACTCATGAGGGGCTTCCAATAGTTTGTGGACAAATGGAATTAAAAATAATGAAGTTTCCATGTGTGGCTGTGTGTGTGGGGTGTGTGTGTGTGTGTGTGTGTGTGTGTGTGCGCGCGCGCGCTACAAAACGTGCATGGAAGAATTCCATGATCTTTTCCCCCCCATTATCTTTTAATTATATCTATTCATAAACTACTTCAGTCTGCTTATTTATGAGACAGATAGACTATCAAATAAAAAATACCTAAAATTGGAGAAACACATTTTGAAACTACCTATCAAAAAACAACACCTCACCATCTTGAAAATACCAACACAGAAACAGCCCCAACCAAGCAGCCAATCACAGTGTCAGTAGTTCAAATCCACCAGCTACTACAGGAGAAATAGGTGTCTTCATTTATGACAGCCTGCAGCTTTGGAAAAGCTACGTGACAGCTCTACTCTGCCCTATGGGGGCACCAGGAGTAGAAGTGACTTGCTGGCTGGCGTTTTGGGTTAAAGAGAAACTTAGACAATGGAAAAATATAAACACTGCTATTTGAGTGAGCCCATTGTTGCAGTCCTTGTGCCAGTGAAGCCATCTCACTGAGGGTGTTTCTCTCTTTTGCTTACTTCTTTTTTTCTTTATGAAGCATGATGTCCTTCGATGGGGATTGGTCATCTTGATAAAATGCATAAAAGTTGCACCATCCTCACTTGTAAGGGGCATTTTGATTATACTTCTTCCAAGACAGATTTGTTTGTTCTTGTGGCAGTGCATGGTATCCAATTTTATCTAATAGGAAGATTTTTTTTTAAACTGCTAGAGTCTAAAATTGATCAAGTATATGACCAAGATACACTGAAGCTTGGAAGGTAAAAATTGGAAACAAACAGGAACAGTAGTTGGCAAACATGGCTTGACCATCAAAACAATACATGATACTATGGGATATAATTCTGAAAGATCAATGACTCATTCACTGAAAACACTTTATTTCAAAACAATGAATGACTGTATAATAATACAACAGCCCTCACTAAATAGATGGCACAAGAATCAAATGGACATTTAAGTTGTATAAATTGCTGAATGTAAAACTGATGATCTGCTCTGTAAATATTCACCCAAATCACAATAAAAAGTTTTTAAAAGAGGAAAAGACAACATCTGTGGGAAAGTGACAATGGGTAATCTCTGTATCATTAGTGAGCTTAAGGCCAGGGGCTCACTGTGGTACAGATCAATTACTCCTATGCAAGTACAAGTTGAAACTGAAGAAAATTAAAAACACGTCCACCAGGGCCAAATATGACCTTCAGTATATATCACTTAGATCAACAGACCATCTGAAGAACAGATTGACACTTTCAACACTAATGACAGAAGACCAGATGGGTTGTGCTTTGATATCAAGAATGTCACACATGGAGAAAGTAAAGTCATTAAAAAGACAAGAAATAAGGTGCCAACCAAAGTGGTTATCAGAAGAGACTCTAAAACTTACCCGTAAGTACAGAGAAGCTCTCCATTAGTGGGGGGTGGAGGGGGAGAGATGATGAAATAAAAGAACTGACTAGAAGATTTCAAAAGGAAGCTTAAGACAGGATAAAGCACTACAATGAAATGGCCGGAGACACAGAAATAGAAAACCAGAAGGGAAATCCAGGCATGACAGAACTAGAGAAAATCAAGGGGCAATACTGAAAGACTGTAGTGGAGGAAAGAAAACAAAAAAGAATGATACAAGAAACACCCAAAGAAAATGGAAGGAATACACAGTCACTATACCAAAAATGAATTGGTCGACATTCCGCCATTTCCAACGCCTCTGTTATGGAAGGCACTTTCAGGCTGAACTGAAGACACAAACCCCCAAGGAGGTGGTGCGTGATGACAGCATAAGCAGTAGCTTATACTACACAATTATTGACAAAAACCAACAAATGTTGACAAAATCAATAATGTCTGAATTCAGGACACCAATTAAAGAGTGGGAGGAATACAGGGGACACTGCAGCCAGTAAAAGGTCAATATAGATCACATGAGAGTAGAACTTCTTCCCCAGAGCTTCCTCACCCTGCCCCTCAGCTTCGCCATCATGGAGCAGCAGCAACCAGCACAGTCTAGCCCGACTTTGTGAGCAGCTAGATCTCAGTGCAGGGCGGCCAGAGTGCTCCTTAGAGGCAAGGATGGCAAGACTTTGCCTTACTAACTTTGGACCATTGTCAGGAGAGACCAATCCCTGGAGAGGGACATCATGCTGAGTCAAGTAGGGCAGCAAAAGCGAGGAAGGCTCTCAATGAGATGGATTGACACAGTGGCTGCAACGATGGGCTCAGGCACATACCAGTTGTAAGGATGATGCAGGACCGTGCAGCGTTTTGTTCTGTTGTGCATATAGGGTCCCTATGGGTCAGAACGGACTCTATAGCACCTAACAACAAGGCCTCAGTGAAGGCATCATGGGCAGGATGCCTGAGCAGGAAGCCCTAAGGTCTTCCTCACTGCAGCATTATGGGGTACCTCAGGCCTGGGATTGTGTGGGTCCTGGGAGGGAGTGGCATGTAAGCACAGTGCACCCAACTTTGTAAACAGCTGGTCCTGGTGGATGCATCACAGACAGGGATGCCTGAGCATGAAGACGACTTAAGAAGGGGCGTCTTGGCACAATGGAGATCTGAGATCATATGGGTCCCATGAGGAAACCGTGTCGCGTGGCAGACCAGTGAAAAGACTGGCTCTGTTGGGGAAGGATGTCTGAGAAGGCAAGGGTCACTATGAGTCGGCATGGATTCCAGGGCAGTGAGTAGGCCCAACACCTGTGACACCCGGGAGGAAATAGAATTTGGAGTTCAATGTACCCAAGGCTTTTGAGTATTCAGGCCCCAGTGAAGGTACCATGGGCAGTAAAGCCGGAACAACAGAACTAACCAAGTGTTCTGTGGCACCCTGCCAGTCTGAAATCATGCAAGCCCCAAAGGCAGCAGCAGACTGTAGCCCAGGCTTTGTGAACTGCCCGATCCCGGGAAGCACAGCTCAGTCAGGTTATGCCAGAGCACACAGACCTAATAACAGACCTAACAAAAAGGGTCGTAGGGCACCACAGGCTCTGAGGAAGAGGTAAGTAGAACACAATATGATCCAGACATTGTGAAGAGCTTGGCACCACATAAGATACTACAAGCAGGCTCACAAACAAGAAAAAGTACAGGGTGCACTACAGGTCAACGGCTCCTGAGTACTGTACAGAAGTTGCACAAAGTACACAATTTGGCCTGGACTGTATGGGCAGAGAAACATGCTGAACACAGCATGAGCCACACTCTTGAGAAGGTTGGTCTGGGATGGGGTGGCACAGCAAGCACAGCAGGGTCCCCAACCTCCTAAGCCCTGGGGAAGAAAAATGGTAAGCATAGTGCAGGCCTGAACCCATGAATAGTAGGGACATGTGGTGAGTTAGCAACAGCTGCCACTTTGGGGGTGGGGGTGGGCGGGAGTAAGAGTGAGTGGGAGAGAATTTTGAGGCTAATGTTCCAGGAGAGGAGAAGTGTGCACCAATTCTGTTAACAACTGCCATTCTGTAACCGAACAAGTATGTAACAACTGCAGCTTTTGGAGAGTAGGGGGTGTGGGTGGGGGATATGAGACCTGAATCGCATGGCTGGTGCTTACATGCAGGGGGTCTGGAGTAAAAATTCAATGATAGCTGGTAAGCCCAAATGAGAAGGCGGGCATCTCATATACAACATCTCTCGGGGTGAGTCTTATGCTGAAGTAAAATGATCATTGTCCCTGTTGACAACACAAACTACACAGGCGTCAACAGGGATGGACTTAGAAGGTGCAAGGGGCATGTTCAGCACTCCCAACCATCAAGCACACTAAAATATATTTTCCCCCCTGGCCCCCCAAATTAAAAAAAAAGATTTGTTAGATTTTATTTGTAAGACTTTTAAGTCTCAATTAATCCTGAGACGATTAATTCTCAATTAAAAGGAATTCTGGAATTACACAAGGACTGTATTAGAATTTGTAAAGTGAAGCAAATAATCAGTTGCCAGGCAGAAAATTAGGCTGGCAGTATCAGAGCTGTCCCCCCAAATACAAAAATTAGAGGTAAATGGGTGAAAGCCCTGCTGGCATATTGGGTTAATCTTGGGCTGTCAACCATAGGTCAGCCATTCAAATTGGGATAAAGATAGGGCTTTTCCTCCGGTAGAGTTGCAGACTCAGAAACCCAGAGGGGTAATTCTACTCTGCCTCATATGGTCCAGATGAGTCAGAATTGACTTAATAGCAATGAGTGTCATTTTTTCTTTGGTTAAGGAATAACATAGATTCCATTCACTAATTTCAAAGATTTGGGAATCATAAAGTTTCTTTTTGCATTTTACTATTGTCAAAATCAGGATGTCTTACAGTTGATGACTATGTTTGGCTTGGGTTTTCTACTCCCTAAAATCAGTTATAATATTGATAAGTGTCAGAGAATCCATCGAGAAGCAAGGAAATATGGTAATGATAAAGAAGTGGAAGTAGCGTCGGTGGATTACTTTTTCTGGAAGCTTTTGGGTAAAAGGAAGGTGAGTCAAGAAAGGAAAACCAGTTTACTTTCCTTTTTAATTTTTAGTCTGCCTGAGACATGTTTATTTACAAGCAGGAAACTTAAGTCTCTGAAATTACTAAGGGCACAATTCAGAAGAACAATTAAGGAGACAGGTAAAAAGATGTAATCAAAAGCACACATTCAATAAATGAAAATGATTCGTGCAGATTTCCAGCACACCTACTTCATACCTAGGCACTGTGGTAGCCACAGGTACACAATGGAGAGTCGTAAGCTGGACTCCCTCTCCCTCTAGAGCAGGAGGGGAAATATTCAGAGAAAGTTTAGGCAGCAGAAGGATCTGAACCAACTGATGAAGCCATTGGAATGATTACCGAGGTCTTGGTGGATTATTGGACAGAATAGAGACAAACGAAAGGAATGCAAAGCATTTTGTCAGACGCCGGTTTCAGACTCAATATCTAGCGGCCACGTCCTTCGCATCTAAGAGCGCGAGCCCCAGCTCTTCCCAGGAAATCGCTTCTTCCCTCAAATACCCCCCGCTCGTCTCCCGCTCGTGCGCGCCGGTCCTTCAAAAGCAGAGAACGGAGTCCGCACGGCGCCCGTGCCCGTCAGCCCGCGGCCCGCGGTCAGCTCCCGGCGGGACGGCGGGGCCGGGGAACGGGGTGCAGCCCTGCGGGCTGGGGGCTCCGGGGTGCTTGCTGACAACGCCGCGGCGGAGGGCGCCGCCGGTGACAGTGGCACAGCGTACCTTCCCGCCGCTGGCGTGGCCTCCGTGGGACATCTCCGTGGGCGCGTCTCAACGCCGGGGCGGGACCTCTTGCCCCGCCAAACAAACAGGCGCGCGCGTGCAGGGACCGCCTCACTGAGCCCGCCGAGCGGCCGCCGGACCCGTGGGGAGGCGGGGCATCTCCGGCCTTGCCCCTTCACCAATCGGAGACCTCACCTTGCAGGCTCCGCCTGGCCGCTCCGCCCAGAACACATGCTGCGATTGGTCGGAGCGAGGGCGAGGGGCGGGGTTTTCCCTAGACCTGTTGCTTCCGGGTTAGGCCGGGCATCCTGGGGTCTGGTTTAAAGAGCTGTTGGCTCCACCTCTCACCTGTCAATCTGCGGCCGCTCTCTTACATTACTCGTTCTGCTCACTGTCCCTATTCCTCACCCAACCAGAGCCTGCAACGCAAGCTCTAAGTGGAGCACCGCTGGCCATTGTGGCTCCTTTGGGGGCGAGCACCCTGCGCATTGCTCAACCTCGAAGTGGTTGCTGTTGTAAGGGTTTAATGAAGACCGCCAATTCAAATATTCTATCTATGTTAAGTGTCACCAACTCAGTTCTGACTAAAGGTGACCTAATTATCCATCTTTCAAATGCATTATGAAGTGGTTAAACATACCATGGCTTGAGTCAAGCTCCTATTGGTCCACAACGTGTCATCTTTGCTCTGCAACCCTCTAAAGAGGCCTTTCTGAGCAGTTTGCCCAAGGCTGTACCGCATTTGATTTCCTGTCTGCCTTTTCCATGAACATTGATGATGAATCCAACCAAGATAAAACCCTTGACAACTTCCATCTTTTCTCCACTTATGATGCGTATTGGTCCAATTGTATAGTTTTGTTTTCATTATAGTGCGTTCTGATCTTTAATCTGGCAGCCATTATCTTGGATTTTTATTAGTAGGGCTTAAAGTTTTCTTCTATTGCAGCAAAAAAGGTTGTGCCATTTGCATCCTTGTGGTTGTGTTACTATATCTTCCCCCCAATTCTGATGCCATATTCTTCTTCAGATAGTCCAGTTTCTCAGATCATTTTTTATTTAATAAAATTATTAGCTTATTATTAATAGCATGATTGGAACCAATATAAATATACATCAACAATAAATTGCATCAATTGTTAGTAAGGTCCAGCAATAGAATATCACAGTAACAAAAAGAATGGGATACAATTACTGAGCGCAACATACAAGACTCAGAAATATTTGTAATGAATAAAAATAATCAATATAAGATACAAACGTATACATACTGATAATCCTGTTTGTATGACGTTCAATAACATAGAATTAAAGTATAAAGATATACTGGTAAATCAGGCATGTGGGAACCTACTGAGGTGTTGGAAATACTGCTTATCTTGATGGGAATTTTTATTACACTGTTTTAACGGTTATGAAAAGTCATTAAGTAGTACATTTAAGATTTGTCAACATTTTTTAAACATGCAATAAAAAGCAACAGATAAAACAATCATTCTTGGGAAGAAAAATCATTCTTGTAAAAAATTATTTTTTTGGTAAAAATTATTTTTAACATTAAAATTTTTTTTAACATTTTAAAACCATTTTATTGGGGGCTCTGACAGCTCTTACAACAATCCATGTATCGAGCCTATTTGTACATATGTTGCCATCATCATTTTCTAACACTTTACAGAGATGCAACAAGCCCACATGGAAGAAGCACACCTGCACGATCATGAGGTGTTGACAAGATCAGGTAACAGGCATGAGAAGACCCAAAACAAACAAACAAAACAACATATTGTTGAGAACTGAGCAGAGACTCCAAAACCATCTGTAGACAATAGGACAGCCCCTCTCAGAGGGGTCATAAGGAAGGGATGAATCAGCCAGGGCACAGTATAGTACTGATGAAACACAATATTCCTCTGGTTTTTTTGAGGCTTTCTCATCCCCTACTATTATGACTTGCGTCCTGGCTTTCAGTCCTGGCTAGACTGGAGCATGCACCCTGGTACAGATAAGAGTTCATGACCCATTGAATCAATGAGAAAATTGGAACGACTTTAAGAGCTTCATTTAAAGTATGAATACTCTGCCAAACATAATGAAAAACACCCCCACAACAGAAGATAAAGTAGAGTACATGGACTCCTAAAACTACAACATTTATTTCTATACACCAAAAGATTCATCAACAGACTAAAAAGAGACTCTACAGATGAGGGGGTGGTGGGGATGGTACTTGGTTTATTGAATAAAGGTTTAATCTTGAAACTCTATAAGAAACTGCAGCATCTTAACCAGAAAAAGACAAATAACTCACTCAAAAATATGTATATACTGTATATGTTTGTAAATACAACAAGAAGATGGTCTTTGGGCTCTTACCTAAGTACAAGAATGGTTTATTCACACTATCGCTGAAGACAAACTGGGTACATAAGCAAATGTGGTGAAGAAAGCTCATTGTGCCCTGCTATTAAAAGATATAGTGTCTGAGGTCTTAAAGGTTTGTAGTTAAACAAGTGGCCATCTAACAGGGAAGCAACAAAACCTACATAAAAGAAGCACACCAGCCTGTGTGATCATGAGGTGTCCATCGGAATATGTATCAGAAGTTCAAAAACAAGCAATCAAATCGGTGTGAGGGAGTTTGGATGTAGTGAAGACCCCAAACCCACCTGTAAGGTAATTCCCTCTCAGAAGGAAGCAATGATAAATCCAGGGGGTGATACAGAATTGATGAAACACATAATTATCCTATAGTTCTTTAATATTTCCTCCCCCTACTATGGTGGTTTTAATTTGTTTTACCTCATTAATCGTGTTAGACTTGCATATGTTCATTTGTGTAATTAAGATTGTTTGATACATGAAAGCCAAGGTAGATAATCCTTTAGAAACCTTAACAGGAGTAATGGTTCCCTAAGGGTATGGGAAAAGAGAGGGGGAAGGGGAGGAAATGGGGAGCTGATGGCATTAGTGACTGTATAACTCCACTGGAAGCCAACAACAGAACTGTATGTGAATGGACATATTAGATGGTGTAAGATATGGCCAAAATAAATGAAAAAATGAATAATAAGGGTTCCTGGGGTGGTGGTGCTGGGGTAGAAGGGATAAAGAAGAGCTGATATCAAGGAGTTCAGGAAGAAAAAAAATGTTTTGAAACTGTGGCAGCAAGTGTACAATACTGCTTGATGCGATTGAACTATGGAATGTTAAGATATCTGTAAGAGATCCCAATAAAATGATTTTTTTAATTTAGTAGGAAAAAACTGTAGTCAATGTCATTAAAGCATTGTTGAATTGGTGCATGTTTTGCAACAACAAAAATAAAATAAGTGTAGGAGGAAAGCAATGAGCAGAAGACATGAATAGACAGTTCACTAAAGGTGACCCCAGGGGCCAACAATCATAGGGGGGAATGCTTGAGATCATTCACTAGAAGAGGAATACAAATTACGACAGCAATGAGATAACATTTCACATCAGCATTCTTAGTAAAAAAAATTTTTTTTAAACCCAGAAAATAACATGTTTGAAAGGACACCGAAGGATTGGATTATTTATATGCTGCTGTGGGATTGCACAATTTAAAATTTTAAAGTTAATATGGAAAACAATATGGCACTTTCTTTTTTGTGGGGGAAATTTTTATCATTTAATGTCAATTTTCATGAACTATTTGAAACCTCCCTCATATTAAACCACTCAGATTAAAAGCATATACTAGTAGGTAGAAATTGAGTGACTAATGCTTCCCATAGAGGCAAACTCTTAAGAAGCAGTCCTATTTTTTAGTGATCTTAAGAATATTAATAATAAGATGATGTTCATGGCTGTTAAGAGATGTTCTATCTTTATAATGATTTTTCTAAAGTAAATCAAAGACATATAAAACATAGCTATAATGCATGGATTTTTCGTCTTCACTTAATTCTAGCCCCAATCTAAGAACAACTAGTTCTTTTTAAAAATCATTTTATTGGAGGCTCGTACAACTCTTATCACAATCCATCCATCCATCCATTGTGTCAAGCACTTTTGTATATTTGTTGCCATCATCATTTTCAAAACATTTTCTTTCTACTTGACCCCTTGGTATCAGCTTCTCATTTTTATTCCTCCTCCCCCCACCCTTCCTCCCTCAAGAACTCTTGATAATTTATATATTATTATTTTTTTCCATGTCTTACACCAACCACTGTCTCCCTTCACCCACTTTTCTGTTGTTCGTCCCCCTAGGTGGGGGTTATATGTTGATCATTGTGATTGGTTCCCCCTCTCTCTTTCTCCCACCCCACCTTCCTCTTCTCCTCCTGGTATTGCTACTCTCATTATTGGTCCTGAGGGCTTTATCTGTCTTGGATTCCCTGTGTTTCCAGCTCTTATCCATACCCGTGTACATGTTCTGGTCTAGCCGGATTTGTAAGGTTGAGTTGGGGTCATGATAGTGGGGGTGGGGAAGCATTAAAGAAATACGGGAAAGTCGTGTGTTTCATCGGTGCTGTACTGCACCCTGACCGGCTCGTCTCTTCTGTAATGGATGTCCAATTGTCTATGGATGGGCTTTGGGTCCACTTTGCACTCTCCCTCATTCACATTGATAGGATTCTTTGTTCTGGGTCTTTGATGCAATATGGCACTTTCTTAAACAAGTGAGAATAGAAATACCATATGACCTTGTCATCTCTCTACTCAATTTATACACCAAAGAAATAAAAAACCCAATACAAACAGATATAGGCACACTCACACTTATTGCAGCACTTTCTATAATAGGAACTATTTACCAATAATTCCAATTAAAGAATTGTGGAAACTGGCACACTAAATTGCCAGACTTGTGCTAAAAAATCAACCTGACAGGTCATTTTTTGTCTAAAGCACCTTAAAATATATGAAGGGCAATTTCCTGGTTAAGAGTGAGATAAATTAATTAGGACAAATATTCTTATTAATGTGGTATTTTTAAAAATGGAGTTAATTGGAGGTGTTAAAGTAGGTTAGCAACTTTGGGGGAAATGTGTACTAGCTGATTGAAATGCTTTCTAGACTTTTTGAATCTGTAAGAATTATGTGATTTAT